CATGAAAATGTAAATTTAATTTTAATATTTTTATTTTCATACGGGTTAATCTCATATTTTTTTTTTGGTACACCATTGCGCTTTGACTGATCGCGTCTCTATGGCACCATGGCACAGTATACTGTGTCTGTCGCGCACTACGATGAGTCAGCCCAGACGAGCAAGAAGATTTTGCGAATGCATGTAGCTAAAAAGAGAAGTCAACACGCCAACAGATCCGTGAAACTGCATAAAAACACATTAATTCGCTCGCCGCTCACAAACAAGTTGTGATGTCCCAAAATAGGGCAAGATATACGAACCTTGCCAAACAAATGTTGCCAGAGTAGTACATTTTACAATTGTACGAGATGTAGCATATTTTCGAAGAATCTGGTACTCTAGTCTAGGATACTCGAAGCAAAATATAGAACATTTTTTTCCTCGACGTGCAGCAGTGTTTACGTGTAAAATATATATTGTGTTTCTGGTTTGTGTTCGTTATCTATAAAGATCCCCTTTTTTGATCTTTAATGAATTAGATGTCACTGCAAATAGAATTCGAAAAATCTGGTACATTTAAGCAAGCTGGTACATTTTTTAGACAATTCTAGTACACGACAAAAACATTCTGGCAACACTGTTCCAAACCAAACAAACTATCATCTGTGAAACTATCATTCCTCCATGATGAGACTATTTTAATTGTGCTCATTTAAAAAAATGTGTTTTATTAAGAACTGTAACTTAAATAAATTGAAAGTATGTGTGTCAATTCAACGATTTTTCCCAAAAAACTTCTTTAAAGCAAGGTAAATAAAAGTATTTTTGAGGTTATGTTATTTTATTTACCTATGATTTAATTTTGCGACTCCAATTTATGTTTTATATTTTGTTTCAGTGTCTAAGACCATTCTAAGACTACTTCAAAATGATCATGTATTTTGTACCCAACTGAAAATAATATGAAATAACAAGTAATGTTTACAAGGGTGAATCGGAAAAATGGATCAATCATTTGAATTTAATATACTCATAATGAGAAAATTTGCATTGCATTATCTAAGAAATGGTATGTTCATTTAAATAGTTTATATAAAGTTATGTTTTTCTGTAATTATCAATCAAGGTACCCCCTAACATAGATTGTGTGGCTTACAAACCGGAAATCTTTTATTCTAATGACATTTTTTTATTGCCTTGTTTGTATAATTTAGTATTTTCAAAAATATTAGGTGTATTGGTAATGTCGATCCCTGCAGGTATTAAATAAAAATAAGGCTCTTGGTAAATTAGTTTTCAGTTGGTACTAAAGTATGTCTCGAAAACAAGAATAAGTATTCATAATAACATTCATTGTGATTATGACAGACACTTAACAAGTCACATCCTACATATCTACATGATCTGGGTAATCAATCCTATAAGTAGTGAAGTACATATCAAAACATTAATATTCTATATACAATTAAAAAATAATTTGAAAATACAGCTGAAGCAGAGTTGCCTATTGAGACAAAATTATAAAATTTTGTTTTTTTAATTGTTATTTATTATTATTTTTTAGTAAACATGGACTTAGTCGTGCAAAAGTCAGCAATAAGGGTAGGGCAATAGCATCAAGAATACTTTGGAATCCAAAGTTTGGATAACATTTTACAATGTGTATCTCACTACTATAGTTCACATATTTCTGTAAATTTTCAATTATGTGCTACTATTTCAAACTGTTAGTATCCTTTGATAAAAGAAGTTTATTTTACCTTATATATTTTTTTTTACTAGTATTATGGGTTTACTTTGTCCGATGTCACGTTTTCTCTCTACACGATAAGTCAAAAACGAAAAATGATATCAACTTGAAAATTTTAAGCAAAAATCAAGGGGACAAAGCCTATTGATGTTCAAAAATCTAAATAAATTGGGGAATTAAGGGGGGTTAAAATATTAAAAAAAATCCTAACTCAAAAACAAAAAATGATATCGACTTGAAATTTTTAGCCCTTTGATTTTGAAAAAAAAAATCTGATTAAAAATTGTAGGTTTGAGGGGAGTTGAAATTAAAAAAAAAGAACAAATCAAAAATTAAAAGCGATATCAACAAGAAATTTTTAGTAAAAATCAAAGCTCTATAAGTAGATGAGGTCTATTGATTGCGAAAAAAATTGAATAAAAGTGGGAGTGGGGTTAAGGGGGTTGAAATATTTAAAAAATCTAACTCAAAAACGAACAATAATATTAATTTGAAATTTTTGGAAAAAATCCAAGCTCTGCAGGGAAATAAAGCTTATTGATTAAACTGTGAAGATTATAATTAAGAATGGCACATATTATATATCTTCATTCTAGTTTGTAATCTTATATATTGCGGTGGGACTGATCTTATAAAATATAAATTTTAGTTTACTTGTTTTATTTGCCAATAAAAGGTACTTATTTAAAAAATATGTTATTTTATTTGACATGTGTGACAAATTGTGATAATAATTTTTTTACACAAAAATCAATGTCATGCTTTCTACAAAACCTGATATAGATTTAAAAATAATCTCAAAATATGAAGAAAAGTCAGTTGACTAACTAATAATGTTTTTAGGTGGTTTTCAACGTATTAAAAACAAAACAAATATTACATTAATTAAAATATTCATTTATTCGTCCATCAAAAGTTGTAGTGCTTGACCACAGTATTATATTGATAATAATAACATACTTAATACAAATTCAATAATAAAAAAACAGCAAAATTGGCTCTTGTACAAAGTTTTAAACGTAACTTACAAATGATAAAATTATTGGAAAAAGTGAACATCCGGTTTAAATTAGCACAAGCCGCCACTAATTTTGCGGTTTTATAAGAGTTATATTTTTAAAATCAGATTATCGCGACTTTTTTAGGGATATACTATTCTATGTATTAGTGAAATCACAATGAAAGTTAGCCAAAAAAATATAGAAGGTAAACAACGCCATTTATATGAGAACTTAGAAATGTTGGAGGTACCTATTTGACACTATGTCATAGAACATAGAAATATGTCATAAAAACCAACAATTTGCGTCGAAATATAATAATATGTAATTATGGACTCTTGGCTAAATGGAAAACATATCCAACAGCCATAAAAAAAAAAAATTATGGACTACAATATTTAATCTACTGAAAATTTGACTAGAATGACAGTGTAATTTACCTCTGAGGTACTGTATATACTATAGAAGGTGAACAAGAAATACAGGAAGGAAGCACGGAAGGAAGAGATAATGGTAGTAAGGAAGTAATAAAGATAGCAGGAAGAGAGAAAGAAGAAATGAATGAATATAGAAAAAAGGAAAGGAGAAGAAGTACTTTTGCTGCGTTTGAAAAGTACCTCATCGAGCAGAGCGAGTAGATTTTTTGGTCACGTGACATCGAGCAAACCATATCAATGGAGGAAACGGAGCGAAAGGGGCGGTATCGAGTAAAAAAAGCAAAACCAGGTACTTTTCAAACGCAGCAATTAATGAAATTATATGGAAATTCCCGGATGGCACAGTGATTGCATGAGAAATGTACCTATATTGTCAAAATTTGTACATCAACAATATTAGGGTGGAAGAAAAATTTAAGTATTTGAGAGAAAAACACCAAGTTAGGCTTATCATGGCTTGTCATAAGGATTATTGATATTAGGAGTGTTAGGAGTTTTTTAAAATGTCATTCATATTTCTTTCAGAATCAGTAGGCTTCATACGCTTATAAGGCTTGATTTTTCCTGAAGATTTCAATTTGATATCACTTTTGTTTCTAAATTAAGATTTTTTCATATTTCAGCCCCCCTTCCCCCGCCTTATCTCCCAATTTTTATTTATTTATTCATTCCCATATAGAACTTAATTTTTACTAAATATTTCACATTCATATCGCTTTTGGTTTTTATTTCTATTTTTTATTATTTCAACCCTCCTCGACCCCCATAATATTCAGTTTTTTTTTAAATCATTAGGCTTTGTTCCCTTGTGGCATGCTTCGTTTTTGAGTTTTTTTTTTAATATTTCAATCCCAGCCACTTTTTTTAAATTTTTTTAAAATTTTGTCACATTTTTTTTTTTTTTTTTTAGAATTAATAGGCTTCATCTCCTTATTGAGCTTGATTTTTACTAACAATTTCATGTTGATATCTTTTCGCTATTGATTTATATGTATTTGTTTTATTTTAAACCCCCCTTAATCCTCCATTTTTAATCAGTTTTTCAAAATTAATTGGTTTTATCCCCTTATACAGCTTGATTTTTAATAAAAATTTCAAGTTGATATAATTTTTTTAATATTTTAACCCCCCTATTCCTCCATTTTTATTCAGATTTTTTTAAAATCAATAGGCTTCGTCTCCTTAGGGAGCTTGAGTTTTCCAAACTCATGTGGTCAAAAAACGTGATATTGGACGGACGGATGGACGGACGAAAGTAAACCAAGATATAAAATACTGTTTGCAGACTACTTACTGTGTGAAGAGTAGAATAAAGGTAATCCGAAAACTTTATTATTGAGAGCAGAGGCAGAGACGGGGTAGATTCAAGCAGAGAAGAGCAAGGTAAAAAAGCAGCATATACACAGAACCGACAGGCAGGAATAAGAGCAGAGAGAATGGAAAGGCAAACACCAGCAGGAAGTAGTGCAGATACAGAAAAGAAATAAAAGAAGGTGGGAAGCTCATAATTTTTTTATCTAATAATATTACACTATCATAAAATTATTAAGTAAAGATTTTGGAAATTGAACCCATCCCATTATTAAGATTGCATATGGATTGGAAATTATAAAATCCCGAGGAAGGTTTCCCTATCAGAAGAAAGAAACAAGAGAAATTAAAGAAGGAAGAAGGAAAGAACGAAATAAAATAACGGTAGAACGAAAGAAGAAAATGAAAAGAAAACAAACGGAAGAAAATATTAAAAAAAGGAAAAAGAAAGGAAGGAATAAATTTAATTACTTGTTTCAAGGTTGCATTTAACAATAAAAACGCAAATAACCAACGTACCTGTTAATATAGAATTTCCAGAGGAAAATCTTCATTTACGAAATCGAAAAACAAAAACATAGAAAGGAACAAATAAATTCATCCAATTCCGAATGACCGACGCACACCAGTATATTATAATAGTTTAATAAATAGTTCGGGAAATAAAACTAATACGTTCGTTGACAAGGACCTTTCAGCGTCGCATTTCCCAATTTTTATATCATTTAACATGCACCGAAAACAAAATCGCGCTTTTCACGGCCAACTAGACTCTAATGAAGATCGTTGATAGACTGAAAGTTCGAATTTTCACACATGTTGTCAGCGTAGGCCATGACAATTTCGGGAGCTTTTCGCTCTCCCCCCCAGCTGGAAGCGGCTGAGACGCTTTGGGCGGAGCTTACGGCGTTTCAGTGATGTACAGTCGATGAAATAAGTTCGGTTTCAGGATAGTCGACTGAAAGCGGGCTGCTAATATCTTACAACTTACAATACTTTCCCGACGACCGATCGTGTGTTTAACAATGTATATGATATAGCATTTATTCATGAATTATTTGTCTACTAATAAACGAGTTTAGTACAAGTAAGATGAAATTAATAATACTTATATACAGTGTGTCGAACTTAAGATAAATACTTTCCTGTATCTAGGTTGTTTAACAGGGAGTCGGACAGTTCGACCACGGGCCAGGTACCTGTTTTAAGTACACCGATCAGTTGGACCACGACCGCTCTTCGAGCGGATTAAGGTTGTATTCTAAGAATTAAAACAATCACTATTTACTTAACATATTATTTATTAATAAGGTGAATTATAATAAGACATAATTTTTACAAAATCTTTTTGTGATAAAAGGCCATTTCTATAAAATCATTTTTTTTTTCTGTGTTGCACTTTTTATTTTTTTGGTGGAACATTTTACGGAATTTATTTTAATATATATGTCTGCTTGAAAGTTTATTAAAATATTTACAAAATTAAACAAACTTAGGTGAGAACTATAAAAATTTGAATTAAAATGAGAATGAAATGATTCACACGCGTTTGCGGTCCTGTACATACTATCTGTAGTACAAGCCCACATACTTGGGGGAAAATTACTTTCTTCATCGATATAAGTTTCCACGATATAATCGCAAAATTTCGATAGACTCGGATTACTGGGCATTATTTAATGACTTTCTTCAGAAAAAAAGTTTCCTACTTCATGAGGGTCTATCTACTCATTGCGTTCGGTCTGCCAAGTTCCTTTAACTCCTTTAACACTTTTAACTCCAAACGACCCTTTTAGCGTTCGGTTTAGTCCGATTAGTGACAATTTAACACGCTTAAATGTCATTTAAAAGCACCCTAAAATTTGTCCCGCTCCAGCCCCTGTCTATCCGAACTCGCCTTAGATATGCAGGCCCACGCCATTGTATAAAGAACTAATAGTAGTCTCACCTTATGGAAGTTTCATTGGAGCGAAATGGATACTACCAATAGATGGCGCTAGTGAATATGGATAAGTCGATATTCGTTTGCAGTGGGCGGAGTTGAGGGTCCACCTGAAATTTTAGTGAATGCCGGAGACCGATCGATGGATTTCTATTTTTAGCTCTTGGATGAAATTTCATTCACTCGTGATTTATTTGGACTATTTTCTATCTAATGTTTGTTATTGTGAGTTGTTAGTGCGTTTACGGGTAGTAGGTATTGTGAATGAGTTCTGTTTATGTTATATTACTGAATTATTTTACTGTTAATAAAGGACGAGTTCCCAACAAGAGTACCTACATGATTTATATATAAAAAAAATTAAATTATAGTTTAAATTTTTTTATTTTAAATGGAAAATCCTGTATATTTTTATTTCATTTTGTTCAGAAAATTATTCTTCATTGATCTTCATTTGCACTATTAATTCCCTATAATTATCTCTCGCCAATTTTAAGAAAATTTAAATTTAAATTTTACGCATGCACCTACGTAATATAGTATAGTTTTACATTTTAATTTTTTATCTTAGTATGCCGTGGAAATATGCTAAACAATCTGTCAACAAACTGAATTGTCATATTTCTATGTATTTAAGTTGTGTATTTTTTGCGTTCAAAATATGGAAAATATTGAAGAATATACCAACCAAGATATTCTTAATTTATTTTACATTCATGGAGAATGTAATCGAATCAAAAGTAGAACCTGCCGCATGTTTAATGAACGATACCCTCATTTACCACCAATGAACAGACAGAAATTTGATAGAATCGAAGCTAACTTTTTGAATAATTTTAAACAAAACCCGGGAAGAAACCGTCAACATTATGTCCGAGATGAAGAAGTTAATCTAATTAACGTATTAGGGTATTTTACTGCGTATCCTCACGCCTCCATTAGAATGGCTCAAGATAATTTAAATATTAGTCGAGGGTCAATACAACGAATTTTAGCACTAAATAAATGGCATCCCTATGCACAAAGAAAAGTTCATGAGTTGCGAGATGGTGATCAAATAAGACGAACTGAATTATGCGAATGGTTATTGGTACGAATTCAAGAAGATCCCGAGATTTTAAACACAATTTTGTGGTCAGACGAGTCGAAATTTACACGTAAAGGGATCATCAATCGCAAGCAATGTCATTTCTGGGCAAACGAAAATCCACATTTTTATCGTGAAGCACAATTTCAGTACGAATTTAGTTTTAATGTGTTTGCAGTGATCGGTTTTGGAAGAGCCTTTTATTACATTTATAATGAAAGACTGACCTCAGAAAGATTCATTAGAATTCTTAGAGAAGTAGTTGCCGACATTTTAAACCAGCTACCAAATAATAATTTGTGGTACCAGTTGGATGGTGCCCCAGCACATTCAGCATACTATGTAAATCAAGAAATTACAGCATTCTTTGAAGACCGATGGATAGGTCCAAATGGTTCTTGGCTTTGGCCTGCAAGATCGCCAGATCTAACTCTTGTTGATTTTTTTATGGGGTCATATTAAAAATTTAGTGTACTCTACCCAAATTAATACTAAAGAAGAATTAGAGCAAAGAGCAACGAGTTAGATGGTGAAATGATTCGTAAAGCAACAACTAATCATGTTGAAAAAAGATTGTTAAAATGTTTAGAAGCTAACGGGGGGCATTTTGAATATTTGATAAAATGATTTTTTTAAACCATGTGCTTTTAATAAAAATTGTTTTTAGTTAGTATGTACCTTATCATGAAAAAAATTTAAACTTTTTAAACGACATATTTTTTTGCAGAAAACTGTAAATGTTTTTAAAAATACATCCCATCTACTACTTCTGGCTAAAATTTCAAGTATCCAACAGAAATAGTACCTGAGACAGTCGACTTTAAGAAAATGCCTACCGGCGCGACGACTAAAAATTAAAAAAAAATGAATAACGCCAAATCCGCTATAATTAGAATAGGCAAATATGGTATCACTATTTATAGAATTTCATGCTGAATCCTAAATTTAAAAAATATATAGGGTGTTCCCTTTAAAATAAAAAAGTTTTTTATGTTTAAAAAATTTTATTTTTAAAAATAATTTGCAAACACCCCGTACAACAAATAATGAATAACTAAATATTCTCAAGAAGTACATCCTATCTACTACCTCTGGTTAAAATTTTAAGTATCTGATAGATATAGTACCTGAGATAGACGACTTTAAGAAAATGTCTACCGGCGACTAAAAATGTAGAAAAAATTGACTAACGCCAAATCTGCTATAACTAGAATAGGCAAATGGGGTATCGTTGTTTACAGAATTTCATGCTGAATCTAAAATTAAAAAAAAATATGGGATATTCCCTTTAAAATAACGAAGTTGCACAGAGTTCATTTTATTTTAATTCAAAAGAGCATATTCGATTATGTATACTCAGAAAATGGCGAAAATACAAATTAATTTATTCTCCATAAAGTTGTAATGCCCGCCTTACGTGGGACACGGTGTATATTGACAATTAATTTGACGGAATTGTCACTTATAAAGTTCTAACATCTGACGTAGAGGGCGTATCTAACCAGTAAATAAAATCGTTAGTTCAATGATTGTACCAATAGATGTCGGGCGCGATTGCCTCCAATAACTTTTACATGGCGATTATCCTACTATAGTTCTTTATACAATGCCCACGCTTAGCACTTTTGGCGCCCTTGTGCAAATTTAAAATAACGCCGCTAAATTGTATTAGGTTCATATGTAAATACATTTACGGGTTAAGTTAGGTACTATTATCCACTATTGAAAAATAACTTTAAAACGCCCGCGGTGTTTCCAAATGCCAATACGTCAATTTGTAAGTTAAATTTGTTATTTATTTCGGCTGTGCTGTTTTTGATTGCACCATAGAAAAATAGATTGTACAATCGGTTATAGACCATTTCATGTGGTACGAAATATATGGTGGCAATACAAAAGATACTTTTACCAATATTTGTGAACATATTTCAGAAAAATATGCATTTTAATTAATTGTTGTGTTTATTAAAAAAAATCAATAGGTACTTAGGTTTATTTGGTATAAGTAGCGATATTAAGCTGAGAAGCAAGAATGCCTATTCTTTGATCTGTGTCAGTTAGCCGGGAAGAAGATTTCACTCACGTTCAGCTTGAAAGTATGTTTGCATTCATTACAAACAAATTCCATATTGTCGGCCTAAGATGCAAATTGCCTAACTTCACTTTTTATCGAAAATGCGTTTCCGTTAAAGATCTATACCTACTGTCGTTTCAAAATCGCCTACCATGCCTATTTTAAATATTCGCGTTAAAAATTACATGATGCATTTTGCCTAACTCCTTTACATTAAGGTTAGGTCTACAAGGTTTTTAGTTTCTCCTGAAATATTTATACTTTAGGAGTTAAGCCATTTGCATCTCAGGCCGACGATATTGAATTTCTCGTATTTCACTTTTATCACATGAAGGATGTACAAATACTAAGTTTAACAAAACATAACCAAACAAATTTAATTTACAAATTGACGTATTGGCATTCGGCAACACCGTGGGCACCCAAGTTGCAGTTGGGACGTAGACTCTAGTGTTTACATCGGCCCACAGTAGAAGGTGTTTCTTAAATATACGTTCTACAAGGCGAAGTCGGCGACGCCAAGCTTGCAAGATCTATTTAATCTTATCCATAGTGGTCATGCTGATTTAAAAACCGAAATAAATAGTTTAAAAACTTATATTGAGAGTAAAATATCACATTTAGTAGGCGATATTAAAGATTTAAGAAGGGAAAATACTGAATGTAAACAACGAG